TAGTTTAGTTTGTAAAATGTTTGTAAATTGTTTAGATTAGGTTTGTTCTGAGCTCAAACAGGTCCAAGACCACCCTAGGGACCATTGGTGAACATCACAAGTGGAAGGAAGGTGCAAAAATTCCAAAACAAAATGAAGATCCTGATTTTTTGTGTTGTACCCGGTCGAGTATACCCTATACTCGATCGGGTAAGTTGCTGAAAAGTCAAATCGAATCAACCCGGGAACAAGGCAACATGCAGGAAGATTTTTAACTCGATCGCGTATCCATACCCGATCGGGTAGCCGACATACCCGATCGGGTATAACCCCAGATTTTCAGTTTCGAGGAAACTAACCCTTACCCGATCGGTTGAGCTGAAAACCTGATCGGGTACACGACCCTGCAGGCCTAAAAAGCCTATAAATACACCCCATTTCCTCCACAAGAAAATCACCAATTCCTATATACTTCTAAGCTCAGTTTAGACAAGTTCTTTCTTTATATTTTTATCATGTTTAGTCTCCAAATGAGGAGCTAAACTCTTCCATCTTGGTTTTGCTACTTTGAAGCTTAATGAATTGTAAGTTGTGAGTTATTTTCTTTAATCTTCTTCCTTGAATATTAATTAATTCTTATTCCTGTTACATATTAATATTTTGAGCAATACTTAAAGGATCAACTAGTTTTGTTTCATATATTAATTAATACTAGAATCGGTCGATTAATACGCTTGTTATTAACTCGATCCTTTCACGGTAGTAAACTTGGGTTGTTAATGCATGCGTCTCATGGTTAATAAGTCAAGGGGAATTAATTATATTGATTTAACCAATAAGCCGCTTGTGTTGATGAGGTTATCAATCTCAATCGTTTTCATCTTCATTCTATTGCTACTATCGAGTAAATATATGGCGCGTGTTCTATATTAATTCGGTAGTAAGTTTTATTAATGAACGCGTCTCGTTATTAATAACTACCCTCGATGAACTGGATATACTCCTCGATTGAGTATTCGAGAGGAAGATAGTTAAAGATATAACCGGGATCGACGAACATTTCATTAAGTGGATAAAAGCAAAGCCAAGTCTTCTTCTTATTAATTAAACCACATAACTCATTCATCTTCGTGTTTAAATATAATTTAAGTTCATTTACTCAATCTAAACCCCCCCCCCCCCCCCCCTTATTACTAGTTTATAAAGAGAGAAGTATTCCTTTCCCTGTGGATACGAACCTTACTTCATTATACTACGTATAATTGTTGTATTGAATATTGATTTGAGTGCACCTTACGACAAGTGCACGTCAATAGACCGCCATGCATTTACTTTTAGTATTTAATAGTTGTATATTTTGTATTATAACTATACAAAAATGTATGTTCATGGGGAGGAGATTTTCAGGAGATTTTCCTTTTTACTTTTAAACTATTGTTGATCTGATATGCATTTAATGCACACATTCAATTAATCAAATTATGTTTCTATTGTTTTTTTTTTCCTTTTTTTTTTTTGTAAAATACGGGGATCAATAGTTTTATCCTTTTTAAATGGAGCAACCTTACTTTTTTTAAACGCTCTTAAACATCTTTTTGTTGGGATAATTTCCTAACTAAGAGTAAAACATAACTAAAACGCAAAAATAGGAGTTAAGGTTTCCGTATGCTCTAATAGGAGTAAAAATACATGGACTGACAATGATACCCTTAATGAATTGTATGGTTCATACATTAAAAATGAAAAAGTGAATAACAATGCAGAGTAATACATTAATTAATGGTAGGTCATGGTTTGCAGCCTAGCAGGGACATGAAGACTAATATGTGTGACTACCACTGCCACAAGTCGCGCCACCACCCATAGCCGGACAAACCATCGCCGCTTCCCGATGTTGCCTTCGCCGCTGCCTGAAGTCGTCGCCGCCGCCAGTCGCCGCCGCTGTTGCCAAATGTTGCCGCCGTGCCTGTGCCGCCAAACATCGTCGCCACCTTGTCAAGTCTCCACCAACCCTGAGCCGTGTTGGTTCCGTCAAATTGCTTCGCCGCCAAGGACTCCACCACCACCGCCGGATCCCGTGTTACTGTGATATCGTCCGGCGCCACACATGCTGCTTCCGGCGTCATCACCTTTGATTCCAGCAAATCTCAGATCTGAAGAGAATATTATAAAATGCCATGTCATCATTTTAATGTCATCTTAATGATGGCATTTATATTAAAACAAAACATCATTTATTTTGCCATCATCGTTATTTCCATGATTTATATGAGTTTAGTGCCAAATAAATGGCACCGCGGTCTGCGGGAACAACACACACATATACTACGTATATAACATGGCACTAAACATGTTGTATTTGGCACCCTAATGTTATAAATTGACACTATTTGCCTAAATAACTTTTCACATGATAAATATGGGATTATTAATGTCATAAATCGGCACTATGTGCCTAAAAAATTAATTTTGCACATATTGCCATTTTTGTTTACTTATTGCCATTAAATAATAATATTTTTTGAAATGCCATTTTCGCAATAAATATTAGTATGAGTGATATTGTCATCTTGAAATGGCATTATTTTTTAAATTGGCATTTTACAGATTTAAAATGGCTAAAAAACTAATATCCGATTTTTCAATAAATAAATTCAAAATTAATTACAAGTTCAAAGTTAGATCTGAAATTTTGGAGATAATCTACTTTTTGGAGCCTCTGATTTTTCTACCCAAAATTCAAACCTAAGTTTCAAAAGTTCCATTTGAATTCGAAAATTAATAAAAAAAAATCAGAAATTCAAGTGAAAAAGAAGAAAAGGAGAAAAGAGAAGAAAAGGAAGAAAAAAGGAGAAGGATGAGAAGGTGGGGGAGGAAGATGAAGAAAAGAAAGGAGATATTTACCAGAAAAGATCAGTACATCTGGATTCGGAAGAGGTTGTCAGAGTCGCGCCGCCGCTGGTGACACACGGCTACCGCCGAAGTCACGTTGCTGCCTCCCAAGTCATGTCACCGCCGCTTGAGTAGGATATCCGTTCTTTGTTTCTCGGTAGTGCAGAAGAGAATTGAACAGATGCGAGAGGGGAGATCGAGAAAGTGTAGAGAAGGGGAAAGAGAGAGATGGAGAAAAGAGAAAAAAGAGGGGAGGGTGTTGATGGATGGTGTTTGGTGCGTGTCAAAATAAGAGGGGTATTCTGGGTAGGATTGAAACTAAGGCCATGTTTGGTAAATGGCATATCAGCCAAAAATTGGTGGATTTGACCAAATTCAGCGTTTTTAATTAGTCAAAACGCTGAAATTAAGTGTTTGGCAAATGACGTGTTAAAATGACGTTTTGGCCCAAACCGCCAAAAATGAAAACGCTAGGGATAGAAGCGTTTACGATTAGCGATTCTATTTTCTCATGCTTACCCTTCTCTTCCGTAAACGTATTCTTCACTTCCTATTTGGCAGACCTTCTTCTCTGAAAAGACGATCGTCGGGCCTTATCCTCCCAGGGAATCTATTGCCAAATGCGTATATTATATCCTACTTTATTACTTTGAGATGATGAGTCACCAGGTATTAAAAATGTTACTGAGTTGCCAGGCTTTCACCCCTATGAAGAAACCAAATCTTCTCTAAATATATTGTAAGCTATGGCTAGGTGACGTTTAATGTTAGTGCTTACACTTTCGGCTAAACTATTCGCAGAAAGAAATACTCCGTACTAAAATTTATTAATGTCTTTTTTTGTCTTTTTACCTAGGAATCGCTACTATCAAACAGCTAAATTGTCAAACATCTTTTTGCAATCCGCCAAATTAATCCGCCAGTCAAATCTGTTGACTCATCCCGCTATTTACAACCCGCTAACCGCCAACCACTGATTAACAAACAAGCCCTAATACTCCTACTTCGGGAATTAATAAAAGTATACTCTTATTTTGGAATTAGCCTTATGTTTTACTCCTAAATGAAGCAATTTCCGCTTTTTGTTCTGTAACTATTAAATGGAGTAACCTTACTTTTTTTAAACGCTCTTAAACATTTTTGGGTAATTCTATTCACAGCCATTAATTTACTAATCACAGCCACCTAATTGTTCAAATATCTATTTTACCCTTAAAAATATACGAAGTGTTTCACTCCCGTCATTTTACGCACAACCACAAGCCAACAAAATAAGAGAAGTTACGAATCATCTTCCATCGGTGGTTGTTTTCCGTTCTCTTCTAGTCCGGCTATCAACAATTTCAAAAACAACTTTTTCATCATTAAATTGTCCTTGAGAAGCATCAATCCCATCCACCATCATCTTCTTGCTTTTGATCACTCTCTTGCATTTTTGCCAAGTATGGGCTTTTCAGATTCACACATATCATCATTTATGACCATTATGAACCATCGATGCTTTGTTGATTAGTGGGACTAGGTACAGTAGTATTAAGGGTTAAATTTTGTAAGCAAAGAATTTTGGGGGTAGCATTTGACTCAACTGCATATTCAAGTGCTTCCCATTCTTCTTGATCGGACAAAACTTACGGGAAGGGTAGGGTAAGAAAGAAGACATGCGCCCACCATTAATAATACTTCAAATAACAAAGAGGGTAATTTATCATTGTTGCTTTCATGGTCTTTGACTAAGAATTGTGCTTCGATGGTAAGAAGAGAGAGGGTGATAAAGCATCCTATCCCCCTATTGGCCGGCGGACCGTGATAATTCATTCATCCAGCCAACCACACGATGAAGACATTAGATTTGAACCATGTAATCTGCTATCACATCGGGTGCCCCATTTCGACTTGCCGGCTGGATGATGAATTTCCGACGAATATTCTACTCAAGTAATTAGGATTTCCAAAAACAATCAAGACTGCTCAAGGGTAGAATAGGTATTATAAAAAGTTGGTGTGTGTATTTAGCAAATTAAGGGCTGCATTTAGAATTACCCAACATCTTTTTTTACATGGCCCAACATCTACTAACTATTAAGGATGTACTATACAAGTCATATTTTTTAAACAATTCCATTTTGGCACTAAAACGTTTTAATGTTCTGTTTTTTGTTTTTTTGCTTATTAATATTATTAACTACTTCGTATTAGTTTCCACAAATACATTGCGAAGATAGATCCCTACAATCACATCTTCTCAACTCTAACATAAGAAAACATGCTCAAACAGTTGAAACAAACAAAAGGCGTAAAATTTAGTTGGGAATTCAAGCAAAACATTAGAAGTGGATTAGTATTACATACAAGGGTACGTAATTACGTATAGTGTGCAAGAAATTACAAGTCTGTTCGGGTAGAAGTCGAAGTGAACTGGACAGCAATATCCTTCAACACTTGGATCAATCCCTTTAAATCGTTGCCTCCCAACTCCAAGCAGTCCTTCAACAAGTCTCCATCTACCAATTCCTTTTGGACAGTCTCCATCACTTCTTTCAATGGACCCTGTTTTTCCAACACCATTTTCAAACACACCAACACTGTTCAAATTTTCAAGTTTAAACAAGAACAAAAGAAGCTTTTATAGTTCAACAATTTTCAGGTTATTTAGATGCCACAGGATGCACACAAGGTTCAAAAATTTAAGCATAAAGAAGTTAGTTTTCTGGTTGCAACATAAGAAGTACTACTCCGTAAGATACTCTAAAGAGTATAACTTTTGATCCCTGACTTTCAGTTTTGAAAGAAAGGATTCCCTGCAATTGATTCAGACTGTAGAAATTGCAATAGCTCAACCGTAGAATGGGCTGGGTTACTCCAAGAACGGTCCATCTTGATTTGGAAGTTTAGAATTTTACTCAAAAAAAATCTAAAATTGTAAAACTATCTGGCGATGATATAGTAACTCGAATATGAAGTACTCCATATCGAATACGGAGTAACTATTAAAATAGGAAACATAAATGAAAGATTTAAATTGGTAGAGAAGATCCGGAGCAGTTTATACTTGAAAAAAGGACTAATCTACACCTAATAGAGACAAACATTAAAGCATAAAGAATGGATTCCATTTTAACACACCTTATGTATGGATAGAAAGCAGAAATAGCTAATGGGAATGCAACAAGGACGAGTAATGGAAGGGGAAAACACAGGGGAAATGTAGATGATCACTTGCCCTTGTTTGGGTGAGGATGAATCTTAGATGAACCCAAAGTTTTTTCAAGAACATTCCAACTAAAAACACCCCAATTTAGGGCATAAAAAAAAACCTCACAGTGTGGACCATGTCTCCTACTATTCCAGGCAGGTTGCTAGAAATTGAATTTCAATTATAATAAGAATGGAGTTCCATTCCAAACTAATTCATTTCATAAGTTTGGAAGAAGGCAGTAAGTATTACTCCGTAAAAGACTAAAAGAATGTAATGCAATTTCTTGACCAGCAATATATCTAAAAAATTAAAAAAAAATGGACTTGTTTACATTTACTATTTTTCCTTCATCAGCAAAATTCCATGTCCCCATCATGGTAGAATACCAATTACCAAAGTAACATGAATAAAATGTCTAGTTTCATGCTGAAAGTTGTAATCAAACATCAAAGTATGACAATAGAAGAAAACAGAACACTAGGGAGGAGGACTTACAGATTGACGAAACACCTTGAGGAGTTTACCAGAAAGATTGGTAGCAACCTTAAGGAGATTTCTGTAATTTCGACTCACCCACGCAACCCGACTCTCCACATCAGATCCGACCCGACTAAACTCTCCCAAAGCTCTAAGCAACTCGTTCAAATCCGAGACGGTGCCAAGCATCTCGAACGACGTCGCATCTGTCCAAGCGTAGTTCCGAGCGTAGTCCCATCCGAGATTCCACATGAGTTTCCAGAACCCCAGGCCAAGCGCTCGCTCAATGCTTCGGGCGAGGGACCGTGCCCGAGCCGAACCCAGAGCATCGCCGCGGGCGGCGCGGTGGTTGGCGACACGGTCTAGGAGTGTGTGAGAAAGGGAGAGAAGGGTTTGGAAGTTATTAAATGGGAGAGGAATTGAAGAAGAAGGTGTTGGTTTGCTGAGAACGAGGAAGAAGACGAAGAGAATAGAGCGAGTTAAGGCGGCCATAGATGGAATCGTTTTGAAGTTTGACAACACTAGTATTGTACTCGTGCGATGCACGGTGCGAGAGTTCCTGGCTGGTGTGTAAGCATAGTCAGACATAAAATGTAATTGCAATTAAGTTAATCACAAACATTAGATATAGGTAATATATGTATGTTATGCCAATATGTAACGTAATCATCATACAATTTGATAATTACAAATTATGGAACACTTCCTAGTAGATTCTAAATGAAATTGATGCACATGTCTTGGAATTTGGTCTCTTATCAAGCAAGACTGGAACTTGTTGAGAAAAGACACTTGACACTAATTTTTCAGCATTCGACTTTTGCTCTACATTATAAGAAGGATAACTATTATTAATCAAAGAGTAAAAGATACAATGAGTAAAATAATATTAGTTAAAAACAGTGAACCCATCGCATTTTGGTGTATTTACCAGCTGTGACATCCATTAATGGGGAAATGGTCGACACTCGACGATATTTGATTTATAGTTCCCATAACACCGGTAAGAGATTTTTGAAATCGGGAATTTTGTAATATTCTCCGATTTACAGCACGTTCACTGGAATTATCATCTGCATGAAATAATAAAAAAGTGGTTAACCTCACATGCAAGAAGCTACGGTTATTCCTCTGTACCATTTTTATTATTTTTTCATATAATTTTGTCATTATATTATTAATCAATGATTAATAAAATATATTTTGATTTTTTGAATAAATAAGAGGAATCAGCCAATAAACATATTTCAGGTGGTACATCATATTGAATCCTTGTAGAATAAGTCGTGTAACTAATGTAAACATTTTAAAAGTAACTCTTAATATGATACGGAATAATAATGATCAAAGCCCATTTGGTGGCATTAAAATCAGTTGATTTTTCCCCAACGAAGTTGAAAGTTATGAACCTATGACAGAAGCGCTTGCGTTGGATGATTTAGCTGATTAAAGGAAAATATTCTTTTAAATTGTATCTCAAATGCATCTAAAATTCTTTTAAAGTGTATCTTTTAAGAAATTCTTTTAAACTCTATCTAAAGAAAGAATTATATGTACAAATATCTAAAATGGTTATCTACGATTCTACGATAATCTCATGCAATATAGCCAGAAAAACTAACTACGACCTTACCTTTTCTACTTATAACACTGTTTAGCGCGCAACAATAAAAGTTACATGTTTGGTTAAAAAGTTGGTTAATAAGTCTGATAAGCCAAAAAACAATGTTGCAAAACGATCATCATTTTATTCAAAAGAGGCCAACCATTGCAGCCCATTCAATTCTAATTTTTATTAATTGGGTCCAACACTTACACATCTTTAATCTATTAGAAGCCCAGCCCAACCCACCCTTTTCCCATTAGACTGCGAGCGATATATTGAATACCATCGGTAGGGTTTCCCATTCCCTTCTACACCGCCTCACAACTCACCGCTCTGCATCTGACCACCGCCCTCCCACTATCTCTCTCTTCGTATACCACCAACCCTCTGGCCTACTCCGCCCAAAGGAGCATCATCGATTCGCCTCCTATCGACGGATTTCACACCGGCTGGTGCGATGAAAGGCGAAGCAAGAGTTGGATTTCATCAACGGCTTTCCCATCGTAGTTGCACCGGTAAGTATTAGTTCAAGTTCCATATACACATCGTGTTTTAAATAGAATTTCGGGTTCATACCTAATAACTCATTTAAAACATATCGTATGTGTTTTGAAATTGAATCAACCTCGTTCAGATCTGTTATCTCTCCTTCACAAACAAACGCAGGCTAGCAGGATGCTTTTGGAAGAGATAAGTTTCTTGTGACTCAAGGATTTTATATATTTTTTTAGTTGAGATAATGTTAGATCTAACTTTCTGGTTAATAGTTTTCAGATCTGGATTTGCTAAAGATGAAGCCACCATTTACTCGGTCAACACTAACAGTGCGCAGAAAATAGGTATTTTATTTAGGTAGAACGTTTACTGATTCTCTGGTTAATTGTGTTTGTTAATCTGCTATCATTTGTATGATTATTTAATTTTTTTATACTAACTGTCAAAGTTTTTGACCGTATGTCTTGAAACTCAAATCCAAAGATCCTAATTTTCGAATATATTACTAAAATATCAACATTCGAATGACCGAAGTTAAAAATCATAATATCATCAGGATATATTATGTTTCTGGCACAACTGGACTGTTTGTTGCACCTAAAACAGACATTTTCTCCAAGCTATATGCAATTAGTTTTTTTTGAATTAATACTTTGTACTATACAAAAATTCATTTTGATTACCCACTCAGCTGTGCATATTTTCAAATGTTGACTCACCATATTAATTTCGGAGTCCATTAGACACCTACTGCTTGAAGCATGCCCCTTGTAGTTTTGTCTAACCTTGGACCATATTTAATATCAACCTTATCTATGGTTTTCAAGTATTTTTATTTCAACAATGTACATCAATTTTTTTGAAGTCAATTATATAATTTTTTTTTATAAAAGTTATTTTGGTTGACAGTACCTTGTATAATTTTTATTTATTCTCTGGTTTTACAATTTTTGGTAAACAGATCTCTATACAAACTACTGTTTATACCATATTTAATAGATACACACCATGACCCATTATATCAACCTAAGATCCTTTCAATGCCATATTTTAATAGGGCACTCACACTTTACCCTTAGGTGACTCATTTATGCAATTAAAGTCAATGCAATTATAATTTCCTCAACATATTTTAACAAACATCAATCATTTTTTAATTAAGACTTTAGCCACATATAATTGTTTTATTGTTCAAATAAACATGTATCAATTATAGACTTTAGCCACATTTTTTAATTATTGTTTTATTGTGAAACTTTAACTCACACTTAACAGACTAAATGAACACCAATTCACTCTACTAAATGAAATCTAACAGAGATTTACTTCAACTGGTGCCTAACTTACAACCCAAGACCCTTCGAATGCCATATTTTAATAAGGCACTCACACTTAACACTTAAATCACTCTTTTCTTCAATTATGAAATTATGTTCTCCCTAGCTTATTTATGCTCGGATTAATGTCACAAAACACCCCTCCCACAACTTTTAATCAAACATCACCATGTAATGAAATTTATGTCACCTTTTTCCAATACATTCTTAACACCCTTCATGCACTGATAAACGCTCTTCCTACCCCTTTTCATGTCATAGTTATATATGATGCATTTTTTTTCTTTTTCTTACACAATATACACCAGAAATATGTTTATACCATATTTAATGGATACACACCATGACCCATTATGTCAATCTAAGTCCCTTCCAATGCCAAATTTTAATAACGCACTCACGCTTTACCCTCAATCATGATTCCCCCCACTAATTTTTACCAACCTTAATCATTTTATAATTAATACGTTAGCCACGTATAATTGTTTTATTGTTCAAATAACATATATCAACTATGATTTTTATTTAAACAATTCCTCACATTACTCACATCATAATATAATCACACCTACATGCTGGTTTTAAACTCTGTTTTACTCATAGCAACTAAACAAACTTTATGAGATGTGAATAACATTGTAAAGAAGTAAAACTTTATATAACATTTAACACACACTGTATTACTCACTCAGTTAGATTTAACACCTATTCACACTACTAAATGAAATCTAACAGAGATTTACTTCAACTGATATCTAACGTAATAACCTAAGACCCTTTTAATGCCGTACTATAACACCCATCTTACCCCTTTTCTGATATACACTCTTCCTGCCCCTTTTCATGTCACAGATATGCATGATACATTTTTTTTTTGTGTTTTATACACAATACACCAGAAATATGTGTATACCATATTTAATAGATACAAACCATGAACCATTTCTAATCATGTGAATTTAAGACCCTAGATCAATAAACATAGGGTAATATGTTCCAGTTCATTCTAACGAAAAACGTCAACAGAACGAATGAAATATGACTGATATGATTTTTAATTAAATACTTGTTTTCATCTTTGAATGTTTTTTCTTAGTTTGTTATCCATATACGAAACACCTGTTCCTTTTCATATTGCTATGTAAATCATTTGGCATGTTATTATATTAACCATCTGTCAGTCTATTCAATTTATTAGTTATTTTAAATAATCACCTTTTAATATTTGTTTTTATTGTCCCTATCTTTGCTGATGTTCATAGATGCGAAAGATGAGTTTGAAGAAGATGAGTTTGATGAGTGTGTATAAGGTAAACACCACACCATCTTTAATCATCATTATAGCATCTAATATCTCAGCAAAAATATTTTCTAAAACTGGCTCATTATATGTATCACTTACACGACTATGTTTTACTACAACTGCTACAAAACTATTCCATCTCATAGAGATTACACGATGTTACTAATATGCTTGAAATTAACTTATCTATTTTGTTTACTAATCGAAAGTTTACAAATGGAAATACTCTTGATAATTGAGGTTATTACTTTTACCCTTTTATCAATTTACTCTTGATTCACCACTTTTCTAATGCCATGTTTTAAATTTCTATTTTAAAATAACCCACCATGTTCAAAAGATTTGATGATGGAAAAGTATTTTGCATCAAAGGTAGTCTTATTAACAATCAACCCTATCATGCACTATTAATCTCACAATTAACTCCTCATTCAATCCTACTTTTTCTTACCTGGCACCCACTGATTCAATCAAACTTAAGAACTACACAAAACACAAAAAAAGAGTACGACCAAACCCTAAGAAGCAAATACTTCGTATTTCCGTATGTGATGCCTGTTTAATACTATTGTTTAACACTCAATCATATATGAAATAACCTGTTTACCGTAGGTATAGTTCGGCAAAGTTCCTCTCTTTGGGCCTATTGTTGTAGACTTATAGAGCTTAGGCATGGCGTATTGGACTCAACTGCAACACGATTTTCTCTCTATCTGGAACTTGCGACATAGAATTGAAATTTTAACATATTTAGATACACAAACATTGATAGCATCAAGAATGCCAACCAAAAAAAGACTTCATTCATTATCATGACACAAATTTTCAAGGAAAAACCATTAACAACCACAA